TTAATTGTAAAACCCCATCGTTCATTCTTAAATTGCTTTCTCAATCTTTTAAATTGAACAAGTTTTGTTATACATATTTATTGTTTTTTATTAATTTTGGCGATATTTTTTTAATGAAAGTACGAAATTTTTATTAAAGAATGTTTTTAAATTTTAGTAATTTTACGTAAATATTATTATTTTTTTATTTTAAAATTTTTTTGAGAAGATTAAACATTAACTAAAGAACATTGAAATAAAATATTGTTCAAGATTAAAAATAAAAGAACGAATGAGTGTTATTAAGAATATGGGTTCTAATTCTAATCACTCTAACTCATATGACTTTACTTGTTGGGTTGATAATAATGTATTTTGACATAAATGTCATTTTTTGACATAAAATAAAAATTTCTGGTAGTCTCGGTCAGTATCGTTTCTCGGTATCGGTCTCGGCTCAAAATGATGGTATCGGTCTCGGTATCGGGTTCTTGAGTATCGATCAATCTCGGTCTCGGGTTGGCCGATACCAGTATCGTTTTGTCTAACTCTAGTTGTAACTTTTAAACGGAAGATTAGATTAGAAGTTAAAGTGATCCTTCAATTTGGGGTCCTTCCAGTTTTTATTCAATTAAATATTCGATCAAATTAAAAAAAAGGAGAAAATAAAAATGCTTGGATATAAATCATAGTGCCAGAAACTTTTATACTTTCAGCAAGTTATTTTAGATTAAGTATAATAATGGCATATAATTCGGGTTATAAATTATAATTTTATGCCTAAACGCAGCTTGAACTGGGTTCGGGATTAAAAATAAATAAAATTTTACTAAATATTCGAACTCAGCACACTTAATTTAGTTATAAACTTGTAAATATTGAAAAAACACTTGCTCATTTTTTCAAGGGAAATGAAAGTGAGAAATGCGTCAACAAAATAAAATAACGTATTTTCTTTAATTAAGCGACACACCGTTCAATCGACATTGTTAATTTAATGCGTTAATTAAGTATAATGCATTAATTAAGCGACAAACTGTTTCAATACACTCTTAGGGTACCGCTGTATTGGGGACTGCCGTTCAAATAGAGACGCCGCTCAATTAGAGAAAATACGGTATTACTGAAATTTTTTCTTTTTTCTTCCTGAACAACTTAGATTTTTCCTCCACCATCCCTTCCAAATTCTTCAATAATGGCCCCTACGATCATTGCTATTTGAACTGCTGTTAAACCAGAACCTGACGACATAGCCTTGGCCAAATTTTCGCAAACAAAACCACTAGCTCCCAAAACTTGAGTTATTATAGGTAAAATAGATTTTTTGTTGTTAGCATAAAATTTAATAAATTTACGCCAATTTTCTTCTTTAATTTCCAAACGATGTTCAATTGCTGATTTTATTTCTTCAAGTTCTTCAAGTCCATGACTTTGATTAGACATTCTGTCAGCAATTTCTTTCAGCTTTTTTGTAAAATCTGAAATAATTAATATTCAAATAACTACTATATTAAAGATTTAGGTACATGTCACGCCAACTGTCTACCTTTTATTTTTCCTTAATATGTACAAAATGGTCAGACTTTCTTCCTCACATTGACAGTACTTGCCTTGTGCTTCTTTATTTTTTCTAATTGAACATGCTTCAGGACAAATTGAGCAAAATTGAAGAAAGAAAAAGTTCTGACCATTCTGTACATAGTAATGTTAAATAGAAGGTAGGCTGACTGGGGTCTGTTTCAATTAGCATCACATCTGCGATGTGATGATATGATGATCATATGCGTGTTCCAATTAAGATCATATCATCATATCGTCATAATCATATGCAGGAACCGCATATGACGGCTGCATATGATTTGTCCGTCATATGACGACGTCGTATCATCATATGATTGTTTCAATTAAAAATCATATTTGCGATATGATGGGTCGTCATATCGTCATATTTCCGATGTTAAGAAAAAGGGAAAGAAATATTTTTAATTTTTCCCGATTTTCCTTGTGTTGATGTGTGGTTGAATGGTTAAGGCGACTGGCTTCACTAACCGATATGTTCATAGGGTTGGGTTCGAGTCCAAAGCTGGAAATGAGGCCGAAAAAGGATTTTTTTTTTTCAAAAATAAATGTTTTTAAACTTTGATTTTCATTTTAGATTTTTAAATGTATTTTTTTTAATATTTTAAACTTGAAAAGCATTAAAAATTTTAATTTAGTCATTATTAGCCAAAATTCTCAAAATTTTTACCTGCGGCGCAAAAAATGGAAGACTCTATCCGAAGGCTCTACCCCGATTAACCCCGATTCGGGGTCGGGGTAAAACATACACCCCTAAAGATGGGAATTTTTCGGAAATTCGAATGACCAAGGTACATTTTGACAAAATATCTTTCCCGATATTTTTATAAAAGTCAAATTATATAATCAGGGTGGCCTTTTCCAAAACACCAAAATAGGGAACAGCCCCTCAAAAATAGGGAATAAATAGGGAAAAATATGTCAAAAATAGGGCAAATAGGGCAAATAGGGCAAAAAATCTCCTAAAGATTCTGAATACAATGCTAAAAACCGCATCCAAATCGGTCGAAATTCTACAGAGTTATTAATTTTTGAAAATCGAAAAAACACCCATTTTTTGCAAAAAAATCGACAAAAATGGCAAAAATGGGTGTTTTTTCGATTTTCAAAAATTCATAACTCTGTAGAATTTCGACCGATTTGGATGCGGTTTTTAGCATTGTATTCAGAATCTTTAGGAGAATCACATATAAAATTTACAGACTTCAAAAAAATTTCTCCGAAAAGTCGAAAATGTAGTACCTGTTAGACCGGTCGAAAAGTTTTCGAAATTATCAGAATTTTGAAAAACGCTGAAACATGTCAACTGAGATAGGAATTAAGCTATTTTTTTAAATTTAGATCTGCCAGATCGGATAAAGATGAACGGAATTACATGGAGTTTACCCTTTCCCTAAGTAAATTTCCGCCACTGTAGATCTCGGTCCACAGGAATTTCCGCACCTTTATGTCTGGATCCTTATCATCTTTATATCCACTTTAATCCCTCTACTTATTTAATACCTCGAACTCGAAAGATATTCCACTTAATCTTGCCAATCGAAAGGCGATAGGTCTCTCCATATACCTTTGATATTCCCCTTGATCCCCCCTAATCCACCGATATCCCTTTAATCTCTGAATTTTTATACCAATGGATAGAGGAGTGTTTTACATACTTTAAGAAAAAATCAAGATTTTAGCTTAACTGTCCTAAAACTTATAAATGCCTGATTGAAATAATCAAAAATAACTAATAAAAAATGCCTATTGGAGAGAATGAGTCCCTTTTTCGCTCAAAAATGGGGTACTTTAAGCGAGAGGGCATAGTAAATTTATTTTTCAACGGAAATTTTTATAAATTATATCAAAAAATAAGCACACTCTATCCTATCTAAAAATATTTAATTTGGAATTTTTAGGTTGAATTAGGATTTTTAAAAATTTTTAAAAATCTCTTTAATTGGCACATATGTACCAAAAAGCACGTATGTCTACATATGATGTTTCCAAGGCAAAACTCATCATATGACGAACATCATACGTCTCAATATTTTGTAATTGAAACATACGTATGATTAATCATATGAGAAATCATACGCCGCGTATGATTCTACGTACGATGTGATGATCACATCAGCGATGTGACGATATGATTAATTGAAACACGCGTATGATTTTCTCATATGATTAATCACATCTGTGATGTGATTATTCGTATGATTTTCCTGAAACACGCATCGGGGATATGATTCTTCATCACATCGTATCATCACATCGCAGATGTGATGCTAATTGAAACAGGCCCCTGGATGGGGTCGAACAAATAAGTACCAGGATTCTTTTTATTAAAATAATAATTTTAGAATTTTCACTCAATATAATTCGAAAATAGCCTAAAAACAAAGTGCTTATGTTAATAACTTGTTTTATAATTTTGAATTTGGACCCTATCTTAAGTAATGTGTAAGTTTTATTTTTAGATGTATTTTTTAATTAAAGAAATTATATGTATTTTTAAAATTTTAGTTTTTCTTTTAAGTTTTTACCATATCTATCCATTTCTACGGCAACAAATAATCTTTGAATTTAACTTTTATTCTGAAAATTAATTAAATTGATATTTAACATCTGAATTACTATTTAAATATTTTATTGAATTAACATAAAAAACTGTGAAATTTTTTTTAAATTATTTCAAATTTATTAAACAAACAAAAATTAATTAAATAAGTAATTATTTAATGCCGTATTTTCTCTAAAATAAGCCTTCCCCATAAAATATTTGTTTGTTTTGACATTGTGTTTTCAAAGCATGCCACAGTGAGTCCCTATAGTTAAATAAGCTTCAAAAGGATTAAGAAGGATATAGAAGGATACCCTTCTAAATCTCGAAAAATAGCCCCTGGGCTTATTTTAGTGAAAATACGTCAGATATAATTTGTTATAATTCCCTCTATTTAGTAAGAGAAGCGGTAGCTAAGCCACAAACGGCTCCACCTGCTAAGGCCCCAACTATGGCACCTGCTGGACCTGCAACGGCGCCAAGGCTAGCTCCATACTTAGCACCAACAGCAGCACCGGCACCAGCACCAATGCACCCACCAGCAACAGTTCCAGCAACAATCTTGGTTTTACGTGCGCCTTAATTAAAGAATATTTATAAATAACAAAAAAGAAATTTATAAACAAAAATCAAAGTTATCGTGTGCCAGCTCCGATTATAGTATACCTCCTATATAATTTTATCTGACTTAACCCGATAACTTGATTTGGCTCGCCGTAACTCTTTTACTTATATTATGGTATAAGACGACGGTTATTAACAAGCACCTGGATTTACGGTTCCGTCAGGTTAACCGACACCCAACAAATCTAATTAAATTTGGCGTTTTCGAATCGGGCCGTCGTTCGATTCAGTTCTTTCGGGCCTGCTTTTTACGAACCGGGCCATCACCCTAACTTTAACACTTACTTTCAGTTTTTTCTTTCTCGTCAAACTTTTTCAGTAATGCATTAAACCCCTCAGTAAGAGATTGTACTTGTTGTTCTTGAATTTGTATAGCATTAATCATAATATTTAGTAAAGTTAACTCTTCATCAGACACTCCATCTTCATCTCGCTGATAAGAAAATTTTTTGAAATTTTAAAAATAAAATATAAATACCAATTGCTCTATTTGACGTAAAACTAATTCTCGATTATTATTACGTAAAACTAATTGATTATTAGCCATTTTATAATTAAATAATTTAAAAAATTATTATTGAATTAATTATAAAAATTCTGAAAATATATAGTAGGTAACCGTAATATCGACTTTCACAACAGCTTGGTCGAAAATCCATAAAATTTTACGATAAATTTTACGTTAATTTCAATAAATTTTTATCTTAAACCATGTTTATTTTTCTTAAAATCTCATTTAGTCTCAAAACGGAGCTGCTTATAAACACAAAAACTTCTTTAAAAAATTTTAGTAGAAAGTAATTAAAAAATAATAAAGGAAGTTAGAAATACTATATATTTATATTCCACAATCTCATCCTTCCCATAAAAAATAGCAGGGCAAAAATACGCCCTTATTCTTCCAATTTAGGCCACAGACATTGCCTTAAAAGAGTCTAGTGAAGGTTACATTGTCTACTACATTTATTTGTTATCAAGTTCAAGGAGTTTATTTGCTCCGAGCAGATAAATATTTTTTATATGTTAAAAATATTCTATTATTTCCTAAATTTTCATTGGTATAAAGGGATTAAGGATAATCAAGGTACGGAACAGACAAGTCACGGAACGACAATTCAAGGTCTTCGTAAAAAAACAATTCTGAAAAAATTATGATTTTTAAAAATATTTTGATTTTAAAAGTCTAATTTTAAAATTTTATCATTTTTGAATAATCATATTTTGATCGGCGATTTTGTATGACGTTGCCTTGTCCGACCTTGATGTGTCGTTTTTGGATTTGTCTGTTCGTTGAGTTAGCTTGAAACGGGTTAATTTACATATATTTGCATCAATAAAGTAATAAAACTTCAGTATAAGGCCAGAACCCAGCGGAGTAAAATCATGGTTTAATCGTGGATTGGAGTTTCAATCTAGTATGAAATTGGTGAAAATAATCAGTCTTGGCTTCATGCTTTTCATTTAATGCGAATGAAAAACATCAAATTTCTAGTCATTTCTTTGAAAGGCAGAAAATGGAAGTCGGAAGGAATGGAGGGCATTTAATATTGGAGATGCCCTCCTTCTGAATGGCATCTATGCATAAAATGGGATTTAAATATAATAGAAAGTCTCCAATTTTATAATAGAAAAGGTTTCCAGACATCTCGGGACAGGGTTATCAGCAAACACTCTAGAAAATAAACTCTGATGTCTCTCACATTTTTTAATTTTTTAAATTTTACTTAAATATATCATATACATATGTAGAAAAAGTTTTATGTTTTAGAACCAACATGAATACACAAAAAATTATTTTTGCTAAAGTATTCATATGTATATCTCACTACCAAAGAAAATATAGTAAATACTAAAATAACTATTTTTAACGTATAAAAAATATTTATCTGCTCGGAGCAAATGAACTCTTTGAACTTGATAACAAATAAAAGTAGACGATGTGACCTTGACTAGCTTCGTTTAAGGCAATGTCTATGGCCAAAATTGGAAGAATAAGGGCGTATTTTGCCCTGTTATTTTTTATGTGAAGAACGAGGTTGCTAGTAATATGTACTTGTGCTTTCATTTGTTAATGTTGTTAGATTTTTTTATTAAATTTTCTAAGAATTATTTATTAAACGTGTAAAAAATTACTTTATGTTAAGATATCATTAATATTAAAATATACACTAATTATTTCTGTTTTATATAGAATCAAGCCCATTCATTTAAAAAACTATTATTTTTTTCAAATTAAATTTCTTATAAACTATATTGAAAGTAAATAAAATTTAGAAAGTAATAAACTTCAAAAATAAAATCAGTTTTTTTTTCAAATTATTTGATATTTAATCATAAGGTTTAATTTTAAAGTCCTTTATAAATAAAATTTAAAATCAAATTATTTCAAATTTCTCCTGTTTCTGTTTCATGTTTCTCCTGTTTCTCCGAAGCTTTTTACCGTCCCCTACCCTTCTCCCTCTCAGAACATTCCTAGTAACTAAGTTAGAAATCTTCGGATATCCGGATCACTCATTTTTTCCATCAAATTTAAATCCAGATTATATTAAAAAATCGTTTAACGGTAAAAACCCTACTTTAACCAATTATTTAATTTTGTAACAAATTATTTTACTGTTTTATTTTAAAAAATTTTTATGTATTTTGAAATAATTTTCAATTTTTCTTTAAAAATCAACAAGACTGTTTGTTCTACAGTACTTATATGTATATCCATTCAGATTTTAATTAAAATGTTTAATTTTCAGAATTTTATTGTAATTGATTTTAAAAACCTATTAATTGTTAAGCAATAATGGCACATGAAGGTAATAGTACATTGATTAAAATTTAAAAATTGTTAAAACTAAAAAAATATTTAACCTACATATCCAAAAATATAAAGGATTTCATAATTTTGTAAATTAAAGTTTTAAGTATACAGTATTTCCTCTAAAATTAGCCCAGGGGCTCATTTTTTCGATCGATCTCTAAAGGGAGCTTATTTTAGAGGCGGGGGGAGGGGGGGGGGGCGCGGGGACTTATTGGTCGGGGATGATTTTTTTGTGTCAAGTGTATCAAGGGATTTTAGATGATTAAAATTTGTCGGTGGTTAAAGAGTAGTTACTTAGATTTTTTATATTTTTTTAAGTTTTTTCGATTTTTTTTCAATTCTAGCTATTGCAGTAATGTAAAAGGATTATTAATGTATTTGATGGAATTTAGAGCATATAGCGAAGAATTTCACAGTTATCCGTTCCACTCGATCTTACGATATTTCTACAAATCTTAGAAATATCCAACAAAATCCTCGGATATCCGTTCAAAATATTTTAATCCAATGAACTCACTATTTATTCAATAAAATCCTGATTAATCAGCGAAATCTCTCTTAATCTACATAAATACCTCTTAATCCCCCGATATCCCTCTTAATCTCCCTTGATCTTCAATATACCTAATTATCTCATTAAATCTACAAATCCTCCGATATCACTCTTAATCAACACAAATACTCGATATCTATGTGATTCTTTATACACCTGTTATCTCCTAAATACCATCATAATTGCTTCAAATCCTTCTATATCACTCAATAGGGACTCAACTGAGGGGACAAAACAATTACTTGACAATTAAAAATTTTATGTGGGAGGGAGCTTATTTTAGAATTGGGGCTTACTTTTTTCGTTCGACCTTAGAGGAGGCTTATTTTGTAGTGGGAGCATATTTTAGAGGAAATACGGTATTTGGGTGAAATCATTACTAAATTTGTACCGTACGACCGACGTTATTATTTGATATTTCATTTGTACAGTAATAAATGCGGTACAGAAGTGTAGCAGTTTTCAACTAAAATTTATCGATAAAATTCATCGGTATCAATTTTATCGGTATATATTTTTATCGATACTTTTGGTATTCCTTACCGTAGTACGGTGCGTTACAAAATTCCTGGCTCTAATAGATAAGGAGATTATACACTAATCACTTATAAGAAAATCTCTGATAGTATTGAGAGTGGGTCCCATACTAAGATTAACAATCGAAACACTGATAAATAGGGACAGCCAAAACATGCAAATGCATGTTTTGTATGCGGATATGCCTTGAAGTGGGAAGCCCAAAAATGGTGTTTTTACATATGTACGAGCACTTTAAGACCCGGTTCTTAATGCATATATTTGCATATTTCGACCATTTCGCGCATATTTGCATATTTGTGCATATTTTGGGAAATTTTGCATATTTTGGTCCATATTTTGACATTTTTTGTAAAATTTTGCCAAAAATTGACCAAAATTTTGAAATTTATTAGACAAAAAAATTTTTTGCAAAAATTTTTTGAAAAAATATTTTTCGAAAAATTTTTTAGGAAAAATTAAAAAAAAATTTTTTTTGCAGAAATTTTAAATCCACTAAATCTTTTAGAGTTGCTCTCAAAATGTAAAATTAAAGGTTAAATTAATGTTTTTAACATAAAATATAGACTTTTAAAGCATATTTTAACTATTTTTTGGTGCATATTTCAGTGCATATATTGGCAAATTTTGCATATTTTGGTGCATATTTTGGGCTTTTTCGGTGCATATATATGCGCATATTTGGCGATTTTCCGTGCATATTTTGGCTGTCCCTACTGATAAAATCTTTAATTAATAAAATTATTTATAGATTTTAGCCGATCATTAAGAGAACTTGCTGATAGAATGTCTAATAATATACAAGGTCTTGAAGTACTTGAGGAACTTCAAGAAGAAGTTCAACAAAATTTGGAAAGGCAAGAAAATCGCCGTAAAATTATTAAAAGCAATTCTGACAACAGCAAAAACATTTTGCCAATGATAACTGGGGCAGTAATCGTTGGAACTGTATTTGGTTTGTGCATATTGTCAGGACATAGTTTGCCGATATTTGGAATAGGCGCGGTTGTTGGAGCAGCAGCTGTAGGATCGGTTCTTGGAGGAGGAAATGGAGGATGTTCTGGGAGAGGAGTTGTAGTGGCTCCTAAAGGAGAAACTGTTCGATCTATTGAAGGAGTAATTGTTGGAGCTATTGAAGGAGGAAGTGTAGTGACTGTAAAGGAAGATGATGGAAATGTCAATAAGAAAATTTAATTAAAAAATTTTTTTATTTAAAGTTATTATTTAATTTTTCTATTTATACTTAAATAAAATATTTTCTTAAAGAAATTTTTTTATTAATTAGGTAAGTATTAAAAGGTTAAGAAACTTATAATTGTTATACTTGCATTACCTTTTGCTGTTTTAGATTTAATTGCCTTAATTTTTTTCGATATTAGGACGATCATGTATTTTGTTAGAGATCGTCAAATCAAAGCTTTGGTCAAGTTGAAAGACTGATCAACTTTTTTTCAAATTATTTTGCTTAAGGAAATTATTTTTTGAATAGGGAGTTAAAAAATGTTTATTCAATCTCCGTAATTAACTCAAAAATTTTCGTTATATAAAGAGTAAGGAAATACTGTCTTACTTAAAGTAGGGTAGAAAGCCGACATTTCAGAGTCGAGAGTGTAGAGCATATTTGGCAGGGGAGTAGCAGGGGAAA